GGGCAATATATCATTGATTGATCTTTGTCTTTATATAAATAAATGACCTTTGAAAAACATAGACAAAATATGTCATGACTTTTCAAAGACCCAAAAGAAGAGCCTGGAAACTGACTGGCACCAAAGGCATGGATAATAGAAAAAGCGGGGTCTCCCACCTATCCAGGCGTTTTTGCTTTGGGGAGGTGGATGCTCTTTCCGTGCCGTCTACCCTTTTCGGGACAGGTCAGGGCCCAGGTAGGAGGATGCCCAGATGGGGAGCACCTGTGGTCCCGGGAGCACACAGCCGTAGGCAGCAGTGGGGCCCTGAGACTCATTACAGCTCAGGATGAGCTGGAAATGACACCATCTCACTGGTCACACAGTTTTGTATCTTTCTTGATAGTTTGCCATTTAAATTACTTAATTTGCTTCATAAAACTTGAATTTAGTATGTTAAAATTCCTTAATAACTCTTGCTTCGTGCCATCCTTAAGTGTAGACTCCATTTCGGGGAAGCACATGTCCTTAGACCATATCCATTCAAATTATAATGGGCTTGTCTGTTCAAATCCTGTAAGCAATTTCTTTCTTTTCTAAGAGGATAGATTAAACCAAACCACATTTTTTTTTTAAAGTCAGACGTGGAATACGTGGTTGTGAGTGCAAAGCAGCTGAAAAAGAAAACTCATTCAGTTGGTAGGTTAGAGCTTGCCCCAGCCCATGCTTCTGTGGGCGAGGTGACCTGCGTCTGCACGGCAGGGCCTGGCCTGCTGCCTCCTGGGAGGGGTCCTGTGTGTGCACCTCAGGCTTCTCTCCTGTGAAATGAAAGGGGGGTGGACTTTTTCTTCAAGGTTTCCTCCCACTCTGATTTCCACAATTCCATGAGAATGGAAAACTGGCCCACCGCTGTAAGGGCTTACCAGCGGATTCAGGTGCTAACAGCCACGCCACATTGATGTGACTTCAACAGTAAACTTGGATACAGCCGCATGTGACACCCTTCATGGAGCTGGGGCTGGGTGGCCGGTGTTCTCACAGGCAGAGCAACACTGTTCTGTAGGTTCCTTTCCTTTCCTGCCTGTTGGAGCTTCTCGTTAATGCTTTCTTCACCCTTCACGAACTGGTGCCCACTTTCAACCTCACTCCTGCAAGCACAGGGGCCTGCCTCATCCTTGTCACTAATATGCAGATGCTGCGCTGAGCGGTTTTGTGTTGTGTTCTAGAGACCGTGTCATTGGCTTGATGATGACCGCCTGTGACCTCTGTTCTGTGACCAAGCTCTGGCCAGTTACCAAACTGACGGCAAACGACATATACGCAGAATTCTGGGCTGAGGTATGTCCTTGAGTTTTGTATGAATATATGCGTAGATGATGTCAAGAAATGGGACAGAATTGGCGATAAATGTATGGATGCTTAATTAACAATATGTTAGTTGCTCACGTTGCTCATAAATTTCAAAAACCATGGTCAGTCACATGTGATGGAGAATTTAGCATTTACACAGATACAAAGCTGACCACTCAGCCTGTTAATATATGTGTACAGTCTCTGACTTAACTGAAAGAATTCAGGAACTTCTTCACTGAACAATATGCTATAATTTCCCTTATTTAATAGTCGTGTCCATTCAGAAATCATGACTGGTCATCTACTTTAAACTAGGCACTGTAAATGTATTTGGAGGTACCCACAATACCATGGGCTATATAAGCCTGCTCTTAGAAATTTGAGAGAAGAGCCATTTTGTACCACAACATGGAAAGTTATGTAAATACACCAAATAGTCAATTCAACAGGAAATTACAAGTTCTGTAGAATATGTGGGATATTAATTCATGATACTCCTGACGCGAAACAAACATGTAAATTACTTTTCTTAACATGTCTTCACTGAGTTATCTCAATTATCAGAAATGTATTTTACTACTCAGTTTTCTTTCTGACTTGCCCATGAGTAAGTAGCATATAAATCTCTTGTTCAAATTGATCCACAAACACGTAGACCCCTGTGTATTAAAAGATTATTTCATGTAATAAAGCAAGCGGCAAGCCCTGTGGGTACCTCATTTGGTTTGAAGAAGTGAAAGTGAATTTGGAGGGCAAAGATTTTGGAAGTTGATTATTGAAAGTATATATCACACTCATGTAGAAAAATGTATATGAAAAGTAAAAACCAACAAATCCTCCAGTTAAAAGTTTAGCAGGAATAGCTTATAGCGTTGAATTATTTCACAAAGAATTCCTATTACATGAGGACCACAGGCTTGGACTGGTTACACTCATAGCGTCACTTCTCCAGAAACCTG